ACAGTTGACTGTTCTCCAAGGGTCTCTGGGCTGTGTTCACCCTTCCCCCCTCTACACGCGTGCGTGGGCAGGACAAGCAGTTCCTGCTCATTTAAGTTCCTCAGACACACCCTGAGCCCCTGCTGGCAGAGATGAAAAGGGCCCCATCTGACTTCTTCACTCCCAAGGGGTGCCTCTTATGTAATCCGAGGAAAACAATGAAGCTGTTTCAGAGGGAAAAATCAGCATTCAGAACTCAGCAGACGCTTGTGCTTTTAAAGGCACTAAATCCAGCCCACCGCGTGGATGCTGGACATTTTAAAGTTGGTTTCTTGGCAAAGAGCACCCTCCCAGCCAACAGATTAAAAATTTCTCATTGGTAGGGTCAGCACCACCCAATCTCAGATTAAAGTTGCCAGACAAATAGATGAATTTTTTTTTTTAAAGGTGAAATCCGCACAGGAAGAATTGCTCTAATTTTATAAGTTGGGCCTCTACTTAATCAAAGGAACTCTTGAGTTGTGCCAGCAAATTTCGGAATCCTCTTTGTCTTTGGGTGAGAGGAATGGGACGCTGCTGGCATGACCACACCTACTGTGTGCCCGGGGTCATTAGGGTGGGTGGTGAAGTGGTGGGAGCAACAGCATCTGAGGGTGGGTGGCAGCCTCAGTAGTCAGTGCTGCTGTCCTTACAACAGCCCTGACACACCTGACTCCATTCATTCCCATTTACCCATGGGGAAACTGAGGCTCAGAGAAGTGAGGTCACTTGCTTAAGGTCACCTTGCTGGTGTCAGAGCTGGGATCTGAACTTGTTGAAAACCAGGTCATATGCTCCTTCCACAGCCGTGTGCTTAACAGGAAAACCCAGTGACTGCGATCCTGGGTCTGCCTTTACCTCTCTGTGTGCCCTGAGAAAGCCGTTTTATTAGCCAACCTCAGCACAATCACCTGTAAAATGGAGTCATGTTAAGATTAATGAATTCTGAGGGTGTCTGTTTAACATCTATCGTCCTTGCTAGTCCATACTCCCAGAGAGTGGAGCTGAGTCCCTTTCACCTCTGTGTTCTCAGCAGTTGACACAGCACACAGCATTCACATTATTTCATTTGCTCTTCTCAACAGCCCCTCAGACGGGGCTGAGCCCATTTTACAGATGAGAAAACTGAGGTTCAGAAAAGTGATACGACTTACCCAAGGTAAAGGTTAGCAAGTGGCAGAGCTGAGACTCATTCCCTGTCCTCTCAGACCGGTCTGATTTTGGAAATTCCTACCTCAAGGCAGGTTTTCGGAGAGGGCACTTTGTCTTAAGTCAGGAGCATTGGATGTAGGTAGGGCCTACATTCAATGCTCAGAGAAGAATCTAGGTGAGCTCAGAGAAGGGCAAAGACTTTGTTTATTTGCGAAACACCCTATCCTTATAGCCTCAATGGTTTTGGCCTCCAGGCTCCACTTGCCCCCACCCCCATGCCTTCCTAACCCTGCTCTTCCCTTTGTCCTCTGCCCCTGCCCAGGACTGGATTCGGGCCACATCCGAGGTTCGGTCAACATGCCGTTCATGGACTTCCTGACGGAGGATGGCTTCGAGAAGAGCCCGGAGATGCTCCGAGCCATGTTCGAGGCCAAGCAGGTGGACCTCGCCAAGCCCGTCATCGCCACCTGCCGCAAGGGTGTCACCGCCTGCCACATCGCCCTGGCCGCCTACCTCTGCGGCAAGCCCGACGTGGCCATCTACGACGGCTCCTGGTTCGAGTGGTTCCACCGGGCCCCGCCAGAGACCCGCGTGTCCCAGGCGAAGGACGGGAAGGCCTGAGCAGGGAGCTTCTCCGCTCGCCCAGAGCACAGCCAGTTGGTGACTGGCCTGACCTGCAGCTGGTTCATAGCTCCCGCCTGGGAGATCTTAGAGTCGCGGGTAAAGCTGCCCCGCCCCCCACAACACTGGAATAAACGTGGCTTTTTCTGCATGCCGTGTCTGCCTGCCTCTGCCTGGCTTCCATCCTTGCCCCATGTTTCCATCTCTGGCTGATGCCTTATGACAGTGATGGCGAACCTTTTGAGCTCGGTGTGTCAGCATTTCGAAAAACCCTAACTTAACTCTGGTGCCGTGTCACATAGAGAAATTTCTTGATAGTTGCAACCATAGTAAAACAAAGACTTCTATTTTTGATATTTATTTTATATATTTAAATGCCATTTAACAAAGAAAAATCAACAAAAAAATGAGTTCGCATGTCACCTCTGACACGCGTGTCATAGGTTCGCCATCACTGTCTTAGAACCACTGAGGAAAGACTCTGTAGCACCTGCCAGCTGGGGAAGCCACTTTATTACTTAGTTTTGGCAAAGGAGGCCGCCTGTTGTCCCACGTCAGGTGGGGCATGCTGGGCCCTACCTGGAAGGGGCACCAGGAAGCCAGAGAGAAGTGAAGCCACAGCTGGCCAGGCACCAGCCCCTGCTCTAGGCCCAGCCCTCTGGGTGTGTGTGTGGGGGGTTGGGGGGTAGGGGGGCAGCTGGCCTTCAGAATGACAGTTGAAAGAGGAGCCACACAACACGGGCCCTGGGGCCCCAGAAGAGGTGATGCCCAGCAGCAGGCCACGGGGAGGTGGCCTCCACCTTGGGTGACCTTCTGGCTCAGAATAAGACCCTCCGTCCCTGGGCCGGGAGCTCGGGCAGGTGAACCAGGAGCAGACGACCCAGGTGGCTGCATCTCCAGTTTCCTAGCAACAAGCTCTGTAAACCCTCCTTTGGGGATATAAGGTGACTCCAGGCCCCACCGCCTGAGGGTTCCCTGCTGCCCGCTGTCCGGCTTGGAAAGAAGTTCTACTGCGGGCAAAATGCTACCCCACAGCATCACGTGCTGCAGAGAAATTGTCCATGAAAGGAAGAGTTGATCCATGTGGCAGACTCCATTGTTTTCTATTGAGAACTTGCCACCGCCACCCCACCCTGCGGTAGCCACCCCCCTGCCCAGTCAGCGGCCACCCACATCCAGGCAAGATCCTCCACCAGCAAAAGGGTTATGACTTGCTAAAGGCTCAGGTGATGGTTAGCAATTTTTAGCAATAATGTATTTTAAGTTAAGTGGTGTTTTCTAGACATAATGCTATTGCACACGTATAGACTGTAGCGTAAACATAACTTTTATATGCACTGGGAAGCCCAAAATATGTGTGTGACTTGCTTTGTCGTGATCTTCGCTTTATTATGGTGGTCTGTAACCAGCCCCACAATATCTCTGAGGTTTGCCTGTACATTTACACACCTATAGGCAGTTAATTCAGGGGACAAGAGCGAAAACGGGAATCCGTGAGGAGGCAAGTGTGCTAACCCAGGCAAGAGGTGGTGGTGGTTTGGACCAGTGTCGGGGCAGCTGGGGAGGTGGATAAAGGATCTGAGTCTGGTGTACTCTGAAGGACTTGCTGATGGCTCGCTTACGGGGTTAGCTTAGGGTTATAAGTGACATCCCTCTCTGCCAGGCCATGTTCTATGCATTTCACAGAACGTCCAGTCCTCACTCTTACCCTTGGAGGTGGGTTATATGTTTCACATGTGAGGAAAGTCCATGTAAAGAACATGGACAGCCAGGCTGGCGTGGCTCAGTGGTTGAGTATCAACCTACGATCCCCAGTGTGGGGCATGCAGGAGGCAGCCAACCAATGATTCTCTCTCATCATTGATGTTTCTATCTATCTCTTCCTCTCCCTTCCTCTCTGAAATCAATATTTATATATTTTTAAAAAGAACATGGACAAAGCCACTCTTTCTAAAAAGTGGCAAGCCCAGACCCTGGGACCCCAAGTTTAACCACAGTGCTCTCTGCCTCCTGGGGAGACCCTGAAAGGCTGGGCATGCGCGGGATGTCCCTTATACCCCCACCCCTGCTGAGTAGCAGCGAGACAGGATTAAGCCTCTGGCACCAACTGCGCAAGTCACAGCCTCATGTAATCTTCTGAAGCCCTTATGTTTCAAGAGGAGGAGAGTAGACTCCCTTGTCCCAGCCCTGCCCTAATTTTACTCCTTGGTTCCTGATCCCTTCACGTCCAGCTCAGACAGTTCAGTGCATCTTTCCCTCCCCTCCCCGCTCTCCTGCACCTACATGTATGCTCGCCTTTCATATTTGAGTCCCTTCTAAACTGTTGAACTCCTCTGCCTCTTTCAAAATCCAGCTCGCACGGCCCTTCTGTGAGCCCAGCTTTCTTTCCCTGGATAGAACTAATCACTCTGCTTAATTCTGTGTGATCCCCAAACTGCCTTCCCACGCCATGGTACCCAGCCTGGCACACGGTGGGTGCCCGGGGGATATTTCGTCCCTCAGTACTGGCTTTCCATGGCCTCTGTGCCCTAGGGTTGGCCTATCTGCCCTCTGAGGTAACAGAGCCCTGTGTATAGTGGTCGCCATGGAGACTCCAATGAACAGCAGGGCAGGGCCGCTCCCTAGCAACCACCCACTGGTCTTCAGCAGCTGCGCAGTGCAGATCTTCACTCCTGGGCTTCAGCACACACCAGAGCGGTTCACGTGTTTTCTGACGGTATAACAGAGAGTGGAAAGGTCAGACAGGCACCTGCCAGGCGGGCTGGGGGTCTGTCATGACCCAGATTTCATCTCCCTTCTCCCATTCAGAGTTGCTTGTGAGTGAAGACTGCCCAGCCTGCAATTGGACCTTCCCTCCCTCCCTTCTTCACCAACATCTCTTGGGACCTTCTCTTCAGGTCAGAACCTGCAGTGAGTCCACACAGCTGTGGACTGGGGGTGCCATTGGGGCAGATGGGACGCTGCTGTGGGCACTGGGCTGGGTGGCTGGGGATGGGGAGTGAGGACAAGAGCAGAAAACTCCCTTGAAGGACATAGAAAATGTGGGCTTGTTTTCGACACCACTGGGTGAGGTCCTATTTCTTTCTTGAGCCCTAGTTTCTCCATCTGTCACAGAAGGTGAGTCAATATTTCCTCTGAACACCTCACCGAGTTCAACCTACTAGACTGCATAACAAATCGCCCAACACTTAGTGGCTTAAGACCACAATATTCTCCCAGTTTCTGTGGGCCCGGAGTACCGGTGCAGCTTCCATGGGTCCTCGGCCTCAGGGTCTCTCAGAGGCTGTGATTAAGCTGTTGGCTGGGGCTTCAGTCTCATCTCAAGGCTCAACTAAAGAAGGACCCCTTTCCAAAGCCCCTCACATGGTAGGAGGTTGAACTGAGAGCCTCAGTTCCTCATGCGCTGTTGGCCACCCTCCGTTTCCTGCCCTGCGGGCCTCTCCCGAGGGCAGCTCATCACACGGAAGCTGCTTTCGTCAGAGTGACGGAGCCAAGAAGAGCCAGAGAGAGTGTGAACAAGACAGTCACAGTCTTTTATCATCTCTTCTCGGAACTGGCATCCCATCACTGTTGTCACATTCTATTTGGTAGGAGTACGTCAGTAAGTCCAGCCCACAGATAGAACAGTCAGTGGAATTAATACCAAGGAATAGGGCACACTGAAGCCATGTCAACTGCCCCGTCTCACCCTCCATGATAAACGTCCCTTCCTCACGCCATATACATTCATTCCCTCCCAAGATCTCCAAACATCTCATCTCATTGCAGCATCTCCGTAATGTCTAGAATCTGCTTCTATAAATCAGGCCCAGGTGTGGATGAGGCTCTCCAGGTGCTGTTTCTTTTCTTTTTTCTAAAACAAGACATGCTAATACAGTAGTCTTCAGGGTCTTGAACTCTCTACCTGCAGGTCACAGATGCGTTTGATGGGGCATGCGTTTTATTCAGAGAGAGGAAGGGAGGGAGAGGGAGAGAGAAATAGAAACATCAATGATGAGAGAGAATCATCAATCAGCTGCCTCCTGCACGCCCTCCAACCTGGGATCAAGCCCACAACCCTGGCATGTGCCCTGACTGGAAATTGAACTATGACATCTTGGTTCATGGGTCCGTCGCTCAACCACTGAGCCACACCAGTCGGGCAGGTGCTGTTTCTTGAGTTCGGTCCTCCATAAGTAGGTCTGTGGAACTAAGTTATCTGCCCTGAACACACCTGGCATACAATGGTGTGGTAGACAGAGGATAAGAGCTGCAGATATTCCTCTTCAAATAGGAGGAAAATGGAAACACGGAGTCACTGGTCCATAGCAGTTCTGAAATCCAGGCAGGCAATGTTGGACTCTCTTTATTAGGTTTCAAGGCATGGAAATAATTCTCCATGGCTCTCAGCTCTGCCCTATGGACCTTTGCTTCCACTCTCTTAAGTTACTCTAAAAAAAAAAAAAAAAAAAAAAAAAGAGGTGGTGCGTGTTTGCCGCTGAGTGGCTTTTTCAGACCATTTCTGTCAGTAGAATTAGGAAGTCCACTGGTTTCTCTTATTTTGTCCTGTCTCTGTCCCTTTCACTCCACGCTGACAGTATTTTTGCCGATATAGTTTTCCCCAAAACTATGACATTGGCACTCCTGCTGAGAGAGCGCACCCTTAAGCTTCCTAGAGGACCTATTATTTCGTGAAGA